CTGGACCTAATGGTCAGGGGTCCCTTTACCCTTTACCATAGTTTAATCTAGACCGACCCTCCAGTTTCTCTCTCTCTTTTTTTTACACCTATGAAAGAGGTGTCTGTTTTTGCTTGGATGGAGGGGGAATATGGGTGTGCGATGGAGAGGGAGGGGGGGAGGGGGAGGAAAGAATAAACCTTGGCCTGTGTGTGGCTGGAATATAGCCTACTGCACAGTGACATCCATTGCTCCACCCATCAGTGGCATGTAGCCCATGGATGGTTGCTGATTAGGTAATGTGGTCTTTGGGCTGAACATGTCCTCACCTCTGCTATATACTGAGTCTTCCTTATGTGCTTCCTTATGTATCAGTGTGGTTAGGGGAACCCCAAGGACTGTCAAAGTACAGAGAAAAATCTTTGGAGAGAGGACCCTGAAAGGGAGAAATCTGTCCAAAATACCACAATGAAGACTGAACACACTCTGTAATCATGGAATGCAGATTATTGGAGCAGGAAAAACAGAAAACTGTGGGGTGGAGGTTAAGGAATGGAGTATTCTGGAAAATTAGCCATATCCAATGAGCCATAGTTTGAACACTTGTTCCAATTCAGTGCTGCATTTTGTAACTCGATAGGCTAAAGTTTGTATGATCTTTCATACGAATACAAATGCAGTTGTGTAATATTATAATTATTATTCAATTATATTATTCAAACTCTGTGTTCCTATCTGTACACTTTTATACTGAAAGCTTTCCCAGAAGGCCTCCTTTGCCGATCTTTCTTTTTTTGTATGGTTAACGAACAGTCTACCTACCAACTTGATAAAATGAATGACAAATGTGGTAGAAAAGCTAGTCTAATCAAGTTTCTTTTTAAAAATTGACTTCTATTTCAAGGTCTTCCTTTTTCCAATTAGTGTCCCTAAATTGATTGTTTAATGCATAACTAATCTCAAAACTTGCACTTCCTTGCTGATGGGGAAAGTTACTGCTCATTCTGTGGAAGCCACGGTACTTATGGCTCACATTTATCAAGAGGCGGCATTTCAGAAGTCATTATGGCTGCTGCTCTGCTTTTGCGGAAAGCAGACTTAAAATGAACCGATACAAAACATACTTCTGAGTGAGTTGTAAACACTTGTGTGTTCAAAGTGCTGCTCCTGCTGTGTTTAGAATTTAATCCTGAACTAGTGTCAGGACTGTACTGTTTCCACTGGGGCTTAATATGACTGAATGTTCCTCGTTAAAAATAAAAAAATAGAACCTACCCATGTGGAAAACTGGCTTGACATAGAAACTCGGCTAGAAACCTCTCTGACAATCCTACTTACAAGGTGAAGAAACTCACACACACGTGTGTGTGTGTGTGTGTGTTTGTGTGGTATACAAAAGTGTCAGAATCTTTCGGTCCCTAGGATCCTGCAAACTCCAGGTGACCCCTTAGCCTCAGAGAATGCTGGATGGGACCCTTTCCCTCAAAGGCCTGGCAATTTCTTTCTCATCACATGGCCCCTTTTCTGTTATTTCCAAGGTGTAGGACTTTCCTACCTATACCCCTAAATGTCTACAGTGTAGTGATTCCATTCACCTGCCCATGCTATTCTGGCTTGTCACTGGAGGTTACCCCCAGACTTAATCTCTTACCTTTCTGGCTCTAACCTGTCCAGATTGCTTCCTCCCTTGCTTGTCTTGCCCTTGTCCCTCTTCCAACACCTGCTTCTTCCACTCATCAGTGTCTTAGATCCTCATCCTCCAACACTCCCTTTTATGCAGCCGCCCTGCATGTCTGCTTAATGCTCTAAGCTGCTTCCATCCAGCTGCCCTTCTTGGCTCACCTGTGTTTTCATTTGAGTGACCTGGGAATGTCATGGGAGGCAGCTGGAGCACTGTCATGCAACCACCACGATCTTCTCTGAAGTGATACCTCCCTCGTCTGGCAAAAGGGAGCCCAGTGGAGTTGAACCCAAAATCCCACTAAGGGTACTCTAGTAGAAAATGGCTGCTTGGTTGCCCATGCAATCCAGATTTCAAGGCGTTTTGTATTCAGAGTACACAACATCCTTTTTATTTGAAGACAATTTACCATCCAACATGTTTTTCTTATCATGTTTGCTGTTAATCTTCTATTAGCTTTATCTTATCTACTCCTTTTGTAAGAAAATTTGGAGCAGAAAACACAAGCTAAGCATGGTATGCTGAGAGCCAGAACAAATGCCGAGAAGGGAAGACCAGGCCCATTGTCATGGCAACTACTATCCGATACAAATCGTTGGCGGGTGAGTGAAATTTCTTTCAGTGGGACAGTATTAAGATTTGTTGCAACGTTTCTATAAAATGTGGCTGTAATATTGTAATAACAACTCATTCTATGCAATTATGCTCAGGAAACAGTAAGAGCATACTAGGCCAGCAGAAAATTCGGATGAGAATTTTTCAGCAAACAACTGCTGTTCTTATTTTATTTCTATACTGCTCTTCTCCTAGCGGGAAACTGTGGCGCTCAACACAAAAATTGCAATCAGAAAATTAAAAACATCCTAAAATAAAGCTCTTACCAAATATGGAAGAAAAAAGAACAACAGCTGCTCAAATTCCAATTGGAGTTCATGCCTCAAAAACCCAAGGTAAGCAGCTAAGTGTTCAATTTGCATCAGGGAGAAAATTCCTTGTATGATGTTGCCATTTGAAAATTGTAAAAACTTTTCAAGCAGACCTGAGCCACTTCATACTCTATGTATTCCACAATTATGGGGGTCAATTCTCCGCTCCGGGGCATTTAAACAGGCCGGTGCTGCTCTCAGCAGCTCAGTTGGTCCAGCACATCAAACCCACCCACCCAACCCAACCCACCCTCTAATCATGCCTCTTTTGCAACCTTTTTCTTTCCAGGTCAGCGGCCTTGCTATGGTTTTTTTAATGGTTTCGGTTTTTTGCAGAGCCAGGAAGGAATTTTCCCTGCATATCAGGTTTCCACCTTCCTCATAGCAACAACTTTGGCAGTTGGCGATAACAAGGTACCCCGTTAGAGGGGTACTGAGGAAAGTCTCTGTCCATAAAGCCAGAAGTGTGTGGCCGGAGGGCCGTAAGAGATTCCCTCAGCGCCTGGGGAGGGGGGACCATTTGTGTAAACACATATTTTGTCGTGGTCCCATTTCCGCTCAACTGACCCTGTCATGCCTCAGACCCCTGGGCTGGGAGTTGAGAGGGATACACATCCAATGCTTATGCCAAGGTTTACCTACAACTGAAAACAAAGTTGTGGCCATTTTTCAATCCCAAAATGTTGTTGCATCCTTTCATTCGCCCATGGTGGCCTGGCTCCCTGGCTGCTGCGACAGGGTAGGCAATATCCTTTTATTTACTTCAAGCCCAGAATACTGATTTATTTGTAATGCCATTTTGAAGAAAATATCCTTTTATTATTAACTTTAAAACATAGTAACTTTTAAGATGTATTGATTTGCTCTCTCTTCTGTTATGAGTCCAATATTTTACCTATGCCTATTTTCTGTCGCCGTCCCCCCCCCCCCGCCCGCATAGAATTCCTGCTACCCCAAGCAAGGAATTTAGGTTAACATTCTGAAATCTAAGGTACACTAAAAGCTGTTGTATTAAGACTGAATTGGCACACCACTTTACTCGCACTATTTGCACAGGGGTTGTGTTCTGGGTCATCGCGTGCAACAGCAAAGCTTGTATAAACCCCTTACGCCCTTTTCCTGCCACTTCCAGGTTTGTGGCGATGTGTGAGTGCATGGTCACGAATGCTTTGATCACGTGAAAAATGGTCATTGCCTGTATCTGAATGATCTGCAGTAATTTTGAAATCAACCAACTATACTTCCAGCTAAGCCTTTAAGTTGATACAGCCCCCCGCCCCCCGGCCACAAATGGTGTCCAACAGTTAGGATGTATATGGTTTTGTAAGTTATTTTGGCATTTGCCTCATGCTTTCATTCATCAGGAGTCTATACAGCAAAGAGGTATTCCAGGTTCTCTGGTTACTGCGAAGATCTTGTACATAGTCTGTAACCTAAGGATCATGTCTTCCTAACGGTAAGCCCTGATGTTACACTCTTATTGGCACAGACAGAAGGGCAACACAAACTGATGCTTTGGCAACAGAGAAATCTTTGGATTATATTGAATACTATTGCAACAGAGATGGCCAGAGCTGAATATTTTATCTCTAAAATAGTGATCAAAGCAGCTCGACAAAAAAGTTATCACATTTTTTTTATTAGCAATCTTGCATCACACACCCCGCCCCCAAAGATATAAAATCTTCCTAGGGAAATATATATATATATGAAAACCTTCCAATTAAATCAGCTGGCTTCAAGGGACAGTATGAAAAAAAATTAGACACAATGTAAAGGAATGTTAAAAATCCTTAGCATGGTGGAACTCCTGCAACAAGAAATTTAGATTCAGCTTTACATGATTGCTTTAAATGCACTGATTTCTTCCAATAAAAAAAAAAATGAACGTATGATAAATTGCTCTTAACATATATGGGCATCAAAACTGACATTAAAAATGTGTACAAGTTTGGAAAATGTTCACAGGAAATGCAAGGAATAGAAACGGTAAATCCTGATTTTTTTATCTTTCCTTAGATTAGTATGAACTGGACTGCAATTTTGACAACTTTATATTTTGTATTGAATTAATTGCCATTGCCTCAGAAGGCATTAGCTTTCAGACAAGAATTATTTTGACTTAATACGTCTGCTGGTTAAGGAACATTCAGGCATGATTGTACAGCCGATGAAAAATAAATGAGTAAAAAAATAGGCTGCAATCCTATGCTTGCTAGCTAAGTAGTTTAGGCTGCAATCCTGAACACTTACATGGAAGTAAGTCCCATTTAACGCAACTTCCAAGTAGACATGCATTTTAATGTAGACTTACACAATAGGATTTCTGAGGGAACATGTTGTAAGATTGGGCTGTAGGTCTAGTCACATGAAACATTATTTGGAAGCGTGTTTTACAAGTAAACAGACTACAATTCATTGCATCTTTTTATTTTTCTGAATTTTAACCTTTTGAATAATTTTTACTCCCTTAAGAACAATTAGAGGCTTCCAGTAAATATTTCCCACTTATGGACATCATAAAACTGAAGAAGTAGTTACAGGAATGTTCTGCTGGCATTTAAGGATTTCATCTAAAGAAAAAGTATTCATTTTTTATGTTTATTGCATAAAATAATTCATTTATAGCTTCTTAATACTCTTCCACTGTACTATTTTTTCCCAACAGTTCATATGAAATTGTGTGAATACAAAAAATGAAATAGGGAATCTATATAGTGTCCTCTGAAGAATGCCTTCAAAACATGAAAATTATAAAAGAATTTAATGTCATTAAGATGGGAAATGTGCCTGGATATCAACATGGCATAGATCAGATTACTACAGTACAAAAATGTGCGACTATAAAAGCCATTCCCCCATTAAAATATTAGTTTCAGAGGAAATTATGTATCAGCAAAACTTAAAAAAAGGTGAAGGTTAAAGGAACTGGAATCATACAGAATTGCAATTTACAGTGCATTCCTACATATGTCTACACAGGAGCAAGTCCCATTGGGTTCAATGGAACATGCCCCTAGGTGTTTATAGGATTGCAGCCTTTACTGGTTGCTAATAGTAAACAGTAACTTTATTTAGGGAAGTTGAATTTTTAAATCCCCATGGCTTCAAGAACTCAGTGTAAAATACTGGAGGCAGAAATACTGAGGAATAGCATCTTCAGAAATATGTAACAAACATTAGCAAAATAAGCATGGACATTTAAGTTTGTACAGTGACATTTTAAAAATATAGGCACATGATTCTCAATGCACTGTTTGCTACAATATACATGGCATGGCAGCTTTTGCACACCTTTAAATTTATGTGTATGTTGCAGTTTAACTGATAGATGAATTTTACAGTATTATTTATTCTTCCATTGTTTTAAATCATTACATCATTTTCTACATTCAATTAGAGCATTCAGACCACCGCCACCAGAACAAATTTGGTGCAGGAGAACGGAATGTAACCACCACTGTCAAATAAAAAATATGTGTTTTAATGTCCTTCCCCCCTTCCCCCCAAAAAACACTACATGGACACCAAAAGAGTAACAAGATGTATCAAAAAATAAGGCACATTTATTTTGATATTGAAATATTGAAATAGAAAAAGGCTTTCAGAGAGCATTAGTATCCAAATGTTCTGTAAAAAAATCTTGTATTCATGAAATTATAGACTTAACTTTCTTTACTCTTCATAATGGAGTAATTGCACATATCCCAATGTGTCAAGTAACGAAACAGAAGTTTGTTTGACATTTCCAAGAAAGATGAATCTAAAATTCCGGAATTTTAACTTCTGCCACTTCAAGATGGTAGAACAAGTGATTATAATTTTCCACACTTCTCAAAGGCTCTTGGATTTCACTCTACGGCTAGAGTGGGATAAATGCAGACTCCATGTGGAACAAAATTGTAACTGTCGCTTATAGAAGTCTTTACAAGTATTTGGACAATAGCTTCGCCAGAGCATATTCAGGGTTTTAATTCCAGACTGTACTATCTGGGATTTCAACAATATGTAATTATTTAAGACCCAATTACAGATCAGAAAACCATTTAAAAATCAACAGTCCCAACCTTTCAAACACAAAAATCATAAACTTAGAAGCCATAAACTAACATTTAACCTGAGATTCACTATGTCGATGAAAATATCCTTTGTTTTTCTTCCACTTCTTATACTGATGTTGGCATTTTGTTAATGGTAAAGTTGCTTGCTTGCATCATGGCTTTTTACTGTGCTGGAGATCAAATAAATTCTAGAGTGAATGTACTGTCACAGTATCCAAGAAGCTGGAATAGAAATGTGCTTCTTATTGCACACCAATCTTTGAGAAAAGTTGCAGATTCTTCTTTAGCATTTGCGTTCTAAAGGTCAAGTTTCATCTCAGCTGAATTCTGTATGTGTTTATCTCCATAGGACTCATACTGATTTCACTAATGTTTCTGGCATCTGGAGGTGAATGCATCAAAGATAAGGATGTAGGTATAAGACTTCCCACATGGAACTTGTTAAAGAGTCTGTGCACCTTTAGCTGGAGAAGTAAAAAAAAGATCATTATTTATAACACAGAATTGGACATGAATTTTAACTTCACTCTTTAATGATTTTCCAACTGAGTTCCTCGTAAGTAGATTCTAACTAGGGCTGGGTGAAATATGGATATATTGTCCAAAACCGGCTTGAAGTTCACATCGTGAAAACCATTTCATAATATTTATAACCTGGCAATATATCACAAAGGGGGACGCAGGTGGCGCTGTGGGTTAAAGCCTCAGCACCTAGGACTTGCCGATCGAAAGGTCAGCAGTTTGAATCCCTGCGGCGGGGTGCGCTCCCGTCGCTCGGTCCCAGCGCCTGCCAACCTAGCAGTTCGAAAGCACCTTCGGGTGCAAGTAGATAAATAGGGACCGCTTACTAGCGGGAAGGTAAACGGTGTTTCCGTGTGCGGCTCTGGCTTGCCAGAGCAGCTTCGTCACGCTGGTCACGTGACCCGGAAGTGTCTGCGGACAGCGCTGGCTCCCGGCCTATAGAGTGAGATGAGCGCACAACCCTAGAGTCTGGCAAGACTGGCCCGTACGGGCAGGGGTACCTTTACCTTTTAATATATCACAAATCACAATGTGTGTGAGGGCTGGGCAATATCTGGCTTTCAAAATCGCGATATATCACCAGCAAAACATCACAATATACCATGATGTCTGAAATAAGCATGGAACTATGCAGAGGTGAGCAGGGCACTACAATTCTGCTCACTTAAGTGAACTGCAGGCTTGTGTTTCTCAAGCAGCAGTCCCTCGTCGTGCAGCATGGGAGACGTCTCTTAAACTGAAGAGACTTTCAGGACTGGTTTGTGACATAGTATAAGAGCCTGCTACTCCAAGGAAAGAAGGTAGAAAATCCAATTAAGCAGGTCCAAGCCATTATCAAAAGCAGCTGACTCAATCTCTGCCAACTTGTTTCTCTACTACCGTATGAATACATCTAAAATATTGTAGAATACCTTTCCCTGAGTTGTAGAGCAGAGGAGGCCCAGGTCTGTGCTTGTGAACCTACAATCAAATCCCTTCCTGTGAACAATCAGGGCTGCTTCCTCAGATGGCCCAGAATCTGCCTGCAAAACAAAAGAAGGAATTGTGGGCAAAGGGCGTGGGGAGAGGAGGAAAGAACTGTAGAGTCTGGGCAGAGGCACAAACTTTTGAATCGTGGCTGAAACTGCTAGGAAATTGACAAGTTACTCTGGAGCACAACATTGCCTAACATCACTGATTATTGCTATGATTTTAGACCTCAGTTATATGGCCATAACAGGTTCAGTCAGATACATAATTTTAATTACTATACTAAAACTTAGAAGATTTTGGCATACATAGCAGTTATATCCCAAAATGCATGTGTGCAGGAATACAGATGTTATCTGAAGCAGGTTATGGGCTAATAAACAGCTCAGTAAGATGAACAAAGCATCTGTTACTTTATATACCATTAGATTCACTTGGCAGTGGCACTAAAAACTAAGCCAGAAATTCAGGCAAAATAACCTCCCACATAACTAGAACAGTACATACAATTGTACAAAAAGTAAGTGTCTAAGCTTTTTTAGTTGTTGTTTTTTAAAGGATTCAGGAGCCTACAATGTTAGCAGGCACATAAAAGGCAGAAGATGGGAATACATGATAGGTGTGCAAAATATGTAGATTTTTTTGAAGCGGAACTCTCAAAACCCATGCTGTCAGCTACTAAATGATACGGAAAACACCATTAGAGAAATTTACACAAAGAGCCATCCATGACTAGTAGCCTACATGAAGCTGTCTAATTAAAGCCAATTAAAACTAGTGGCCACCATCATATCTTATGGCAATAGTATGTTGTGCCCTGCACTGAAGTACATTTCTGGCGTATCATCTATCCATTTAATGGTAGCAAAACAAATACGGCAGCGAATTTCAGCATGCCTACCTCTTGCCCATTAAGCAAGATTGTCTGCTCTTTTGTTAGGCTTTTGCTTTAAAATATTTGTTTTTCTAAAGGCTGCCCACTATCCACCCCGTGTGTAAGAACACTTCTCCCTTTATTTATTTAACACTGTGAACAGGAACATGGCTATTTTATGACAAGGCTTCATCACACCTTCCCTATTTTTGCAGGGGGGGGGGAGGAAAGATGCTACTGCCGAGAGAGAGAGAGAACAGAGGCAAATGTTATCTGGAAAAGTCTTTTGGTTCTTCTTGATTACCAAAATTCATCTTATTCTCTGTCTAGTTTAAATCTGAGTATTTTAATGCTACTAATGAAAGATTGCAACATTTCGTAATTTCACATTGTCTTAAATACGTTGACGTTTATCATTCCAATAATATGCATCATTAGGCAGAGAAATCTACAATTTTATTGTTCCTTGTACAAAAATGATGGTTTGTGGTCTATAAGGAAGCAGACATTTATCACTCTCTACTTCAGTAGACTCACATAATGAAAGCCCATACGTAGCATACATAGAGTTATTGCCCATAGAAATTAATTCTGTTGTGGTGTAGAAAAGAAGTGACTGCATCTGTAAATCTACATTCATGGAAGTACATGTCACAAGCTAGGTTGCAAAGCATTGTTATAAGTAGGTAAGAAATTGTGCATCTCAAATAAATCAACCTAGTAATCAGACTCAAGCCCTTGCTCACTTCTCAAACTTACTTCTGCACGGCTCTTTGACACCAGAGAGTATCATTAACAGTGTCAATAATGCCAGGCACATTTTATAGTGTTTAGGAGTAAAAGATGCTAAGACTGTACTAATTTCTTCAGAGACCCATTTCAGAAGTCTTGTAAAGGGGCTTTCTAGAAAGCAATAGTTTTGCGTATACTGAAATAACTATTTCAAACTTATTTCAAGCTTACCTTTGATTGTATGGTTCTTAAGTTAACTATATTCATATCACAGGGCATGGATGACATTAATGGAGAAAAGGTATTCAACAGCGATGGGATGCCGATGTCTGCATAGGTAATCATTGGAATCAAAGGATGATTTATGAAAGATGATGTTATATGACTAAGGAGAGAAGGAAAGCTGACTGTCGATTTTTCTTCTTTCTATTAAAAAAAGAAGATAGTAGTAAGCTATTTTCAGTTGTGGTACATTGAACATATATGCATTCATTTAAGCTGATAAATGAACCCATGAATAAAACTAAATGGCATTTGGGACATAGGTAGCCAACAGTGTTTTAAAGTCAACAGTGCCCCCCCCCCCAATTACCATAAACAGACATACACTCTAGCGGTCAAAAGAAGCCACAGCACTGTTAGGGCACATACTTTAACCTATGGCACAGTGTGTGAATTGTGTAGTTTCTCTTTCTCTCATATAGAAGTGATTATGCAGCATTTGGAAGTGCCTAGCTGATCTATTGGGGGTCTATATGCATATCCCAAAGGAACTGGTTCTTCATTATCCATACTCTCTGTAGGGGTCTTTTCCATCCCTCTGTCATGCTGGTTCCTGACCAATGACTGAACAGTGTGCTCTTTTAATCCTGAAGGAAACAGAGGTACCCTTTTCTTGGTTTACTGGGCTGTTTCTCTGTGTGTCTCGTTTAACTAGGTAACCTGCTATATCTGCCTATATCCAACATTTGTAGCACTATTAATGGTTTTTCAGGCAGCGTTAATAAAGATTTTAAATTTAACTGCTACAACCTCAGACTTCCCTGGGGTCACAGTATAATGATCTGTGACTACACCATAGACTGGAACGGTGTTTATCGTTGTCAAATCTGTACCACTTAAGACTGTGATAAATAAATACTTTTAATTTAAAGCAGCTTGGCTTGTACACTCAGGATGTTCTTTATGCACCCCTGTGAAAATTTGCTAAGTTGTGCATCTGTATGACTTTACTCTATAGTAGGTCAAATGACGCAAAGCATGATGCTGAAATATTTCATCTTAAGAGTAGTGTAGAGGACCAAATATTCAACTATTGTCACTGCTATCCCACTCCCAACAATGAGCCTCCACCACAATCACTGTTTCTTTCCCTATCCCCATTCCCTCCTTCTGCATGTAGAAGGCCCCATGTGCTCCCCTGCAAACCACAGGAGTCTTACAGTGATGCCTGATGTCTACAGTTCTACAGATGGAAGAATCACCTTTCGCCCAACCCCCTTCCACCAGAATTTATTTGGACTTAGTGAGTGACATTATAGCAACATATTCTTTCATATGAACTTCCTAAAACAGGGAAGAACAGAAAAACTTTATGACACACCCTGGTCAGGTTCAGTAACATAAGTGAATCCATATTTGGAATACTGAAAGATTAATGTACTAATTAGAGATATGGAGAATCCCTTGGTAAAATGTTCTTATGATACATATACATGTACATATATTTGGAAGCTAATGTTCAAGAAACTGAAATCAAGTTATTTGTAACACTTCTCCTACCATATCTACTCCATTTCTTTTCTCCAACAGAATTCGGAATAGATTAGCTGTGATTTTGTTATCTTGTACACCTTGTCCTAAACCTCGATTGTCGTCCTGCATAAGTCGGCGATCCATGATGACCTCTAATTGGCCTAAAAACAAACATTCGTCTTATTAACTCTGTTAAAGTATCTAAAAATCATACTGCTACGAAAAGACAGACTACCCATTATTCTACATATATATAAAGGCTAGAAATATTAACAGAGTCTTAAAGCTCTCCTAATCCAAGATTGTTTGTCCAAAATATTCATAAACATTGCTCTACTTATATTACTTTTTCCTCCAATGTTTTAGCAAGCACCTACATATCTTATCAACTATTCATAGAACCTTGATTAGCCTTGGAGAATTCCATGGAACTTGCAGGGCCTTTGAGCTATGTTATGACCACAACATTGTTTACTTTCCAGCACAGTCAGTCTTTAAAACCTTCTAGTGCTACTTACCACTTTTTAAACTTGCAACGCCAAGAGACTGAGCAGAAAGAAGAGACAAGCGTATCTTGCTATCCTGGACATAAGCCATTGTTGCCATTGGATAAATATTTGCTTGAAGAGGCAATTTGCTCATTGTCTGTCTAGGCTGAATCTAAATTATCAAATGTGACTTCAGTAAATTTCATTGATAATTTACATAAGACAAATAGAAAAAAACCTTTTGCTAAATGGTAATTGAATACAGTCGTACCTTGGAAGTTGAATAGAATCTGTTCCAGAAGTCCGTTCGACTTCCGAAACATTTGACTTCCAATGCGTGGCTTATGATTGGCTGCAGGAGCATCCTGTAGCCAACTGGAAGCTGCAGAAGCCCCATCGGACATTCGGCTTCCGAAAGAACATTTGAAAACCGGAACACACACTTCCAGTTTTCAATCGTCTGGGAGCTGAAATGTTCAACTCCCAAGGTATTAGGGAGCCAAGGAATGACTGTACTATACTTTCAGGCTTGCCCAATTTCTGTTTCTCTCCCTAAAACCAAGTTATTGATGACAGCCTATAAACAAGTTATCTTTCTAACTAATATTTTAACAAACAAACATCTGTATGCAACACAGCTAAATCTGTGGGAGCTTCCAGAGGAAAGTCACAGATTATAATCTCAGTGAAAGGGTGAACTGGTATAAGAGAAGGTGGTTAACAACTGGGTTTTTATTTCTCTTCATCATTTTTGAGATTCACTTGCTTTCTGTGTGCCTCCTTATCTTCTAATTTACCATGTGCAAGAGCTTGCATACATGTTGCTGAAAATACAGGGAGCTGGCCTGAGTGAGGTCTGCTGCATTCCACCACGGCTGTGGGTTCATCAGCAAACATACTGATTGCACCAACCTCAGGTTATGCTAGTTGATAACTCCCTTTTAAAGGGAATGGAAGCACCTCTCTGCTGTCCTGACTTGGGAATCCAGGTAAGTGAGAGAGACAAAACATGGGGACAGACATGGTATCATTAGTGGGAGATAAAAGGTGGCATTTCTTCATTAATGTCTGATAAAATTGAGTGGAATTTTTAAAAAATAGGGGATGAGGAGGATGGGAAGATAACATAATATTTTAAGATTTTCATCCAGTTTATAGAAAAAAAAATTAAATTGTTACTAATTTTTTTAAAAACACCACTCCAATAAAAGATGGAAGTAAATGTTAACAAAAAGGCTAATCTAAAACGTAGAACATAACCCCTGTGTTTAAATTAACACATGGCGTTTACCTGGTATCCATTGAGGTCAGTGTAAAATCTGTTATGGCTTTCTATGTCAGATGAAATCCGCATTGCAATCTCACGATTGTATTCTCCTCTAATGTCCACAATGTTGGATACCTCAAGAGACTGACCTTCAAGCCCTAAATATAAAATGAGATTCAGTAATTTCCAAATATTAGTCTGTCCAACCCATGATCCTAAGCAGTAAGGAACCAGTCAAGTGCAACGTATATTTGCAGCTCAATTGGAGCCACGTAAAGAGGGGTTTCGTAGATGCTTCTATTGGTTGAATCTCTAGAGCTGCATATCCTGCTTTAGAAGAGGACTGGAACCAAAGGAAAGATGTCAGAAAACGCCATCTTTTGCACATGATATATTTATTAATTCAACTGATTCCACCTTTGTTGCTCTCCTTTGATTTTCAAAAGTAGTGTGAATTAAAGAATGAGTTGGGAAATTATTTATGATGAGTTGGGGGGGGGGATGTTTAGATCTACCTTCCACCAAAAAACCAGAGCCCTTTTTGTTGGGAATAACCCAGACAGAAATTCCCAGGTGCCAGAAAAGTTTTGTTTATGTATGCAACGTGTTAGCCCCCAAATGGAAAGTGAGCAAAGGTCCCTTGTAAAGAGCACTGGCAACTTTAGATGTTAGAATATGAAGAAAAACTTGCAGGTTTAACCCACAGAATAAGATAGCAAGAAGAACGTATATTTAAAGAAGAATGGAAAATATTTATTGAATATATGGAGAATAATTGTACACAGCTGAAAACACTGACAGCATTAAGATAAATTCAAAAGAGTAAACAATATTTGATTGATGTAAAAGTGGAAAATTGATTTGAATTGTTATAGTAAAATATGCAGGAAAGTATGATTTGTAATATGAACTATGGAAGGAGAAGAAGGGAAGCCATTGGATATTTTAAAGGTTGTATAATGTTTACCGTATATACTCAAGTATATGCTGACTTTTTCAGCAAATTTTTTATGCTGAACCTCCCCCCATGGCTTTTACTTGAGTGAGGGTCCCTGGCAGAGGCTGTTGTCTATATCTATAGATATATAGATATATAAGGCTGTTAGTTGAAACCAGTTGACGTTCCCAAACACTTTTCAAAGGCACCACCACAAACAATGGATTACATTAATCTAAAGTAGGCTGAATAAATGTAGCAGATCAAAGAGTTCATTTCTGAACAACTCTCACTGCAGTTAACAAGTTTCTAAAATGGTAAACTGTAGGAAAGTCAACTGTATTCACATGCACCGAAACAAGACAATATTAAACCCTAAAAGAACTGGAACATAATCGCACAGCTAGATTTGCTAACAATACATTACCATGAACTTTGTAAAGTCGTATTGTGTGTGTCAAATGATGGAAAAAAGTAGTAACTTCAGAAAAGATCCTCCCATGTGTAACTCGTATGATAGGTGGATCAGAGAAAACATAGGGCTGCAAAAAGACAAAAGCAAAATTATGTTAGTACTTTGAATCTTCACATTTCATTGTCTTGCTTAAGGGGGGGGGCACTGTTGTTGCGACCCTTCAGAGGAGCTCCAAAAAGAAGCATGTCCCTCACACATCCTCTTTCACCACATCCGTGGAATGCCTTGAAAGAGCTCCAAGTTAAAATCGTACTTTGTATGATAGAGATGGATTTTGGGCCACATTTATCTTGTCAAAGATCCCTCAAGCTTCAACCAAGAGCTATATGAACAAAGGACAATTGTTACTCAACGACATCTGATCGCTAATTAAATAGTTTCCCCCTTTCTGGCACAGCTTTTCATAAAACTGGAATATTTATTTTTGGAAATCCCAAGAAAACTGGGAGATGGCCTTCTCAGTCATCGGCAGCGACAGCAAGCCCCCTCCCCTTATAAATGCACAACCAGGAGCACATTTCAAAGGTCCTGATCAGTCATTGGCTGCCACATCTCCACCTGCCCCTCTTCTGAAGGAGGCCTGGGACAGGTGGTTGTGGTTTGGGGGAGGGGGTAATGGCTTCATGAGTCAAGCAGCGACCCCTCCCAGACCTAATTAGGTCTGTGGGTTGGATGCTCCTCAATCCTGCTGTAGATCCCCGTTTCCAAAATGTTTTGTATCTGCAGTTTATCTTCAGTTAAAAATGAAGGCCCATTTCACTATCTACAGTGGTACCTCGAATTACATTCGCTTCAGGTTACATTTGCTTCAGGTTACAGACTCCACTAACCCAGAAATAGTACCTCAGGTTAAGAACTTTGCTTCAGGATGAGAACAGAAATCGTGCTCCGGCGGCGCGGCAGCAGCAGGAGGCCCCATTAGCTAAAGTGGTGCTTCAGGTTAAGTACAGTTTCAGGTTAAGTATGGACCTCCGGAACGAATTAAGTACTTAACCCAAGGTACCACTGTACTTCAATATTTTAGGTTGGCTCTGCAGTTGCCCTTCCACAAATGGAAAGCTTCCTTCCACTGATGGAAGAAGCTGTGGAGTACAAGACAATTCCCCCTGATTTCCTCACATCATCTCTTACAACCTAGTTCTCCCAATCCTTAAGGGTATGTTTTCAAGAAACACAAAGGGGCTGCAGCAGGAAGGCGTAACCAGCAAAAATCACCCTGCCGTCTATTTCTTCCAATAAGAGAATATCTGGATTAAGTCCTTTTTTTTTTTTTTAGTGATACCTATATAACACGACAAGTGATAAAAATGTTCTTGATCAGATCCCAGTTTACCACTAATGGATAGCTAAATGAGCACTGACTCTCAAGAGATTCATCCCCCTTTCTTCCCAGTCAGTCATGGCTCACTTTTCTCAATCCAGTGCTCTTCTGGGAGGTCACAACATCTATTTCAAAAGTGGGGGAAGTTTTCCACTAGCAGAATGGTACCTCTGGATGAAAGCCTGTATATACACTCTTCCCTGCTTTCCTCAATATAGTCCAAACACAAGCCTATTATTACCTTGGCGTCTCCATCCGGTAAGAAGAGATAAGCCCCACTCTTATCTCTGTTACTTGTAGTCCCATACCAAACAAATTCCATCTTGACACGGTGATTTTTATTATTTTCTTTTGTATTTACTTTCTAAAGGAATAATAATAATAATAATAATACTGTTATTCCACATTATTTCAATCTCAAAATATTTTCAAATAGTTAAATATACATACCTCAAGAAGCCCAGAATTCCCAGAGAACCAGACTTTCATGTAAGAGTTCTCTAGCATGATCTCATCCAGAGCATTCTGTATCTCTTTAACGTTGAAAACTCTATAGGGCTTGACTAGCTTAGCTTTGTCGTTATGATAGAGATTATAGTCCGCCAATGCAACTTCAGAACTCAGACCCTCCAGTAGCTGGTAAACTCCAAAACCCAAGGGTGGTATACGAACCAAGAAAGAAATCTGTTAAGTGAAGGCAAAGAAATGTTATTTTTTCCAATATCAAGAGCAGACATCCAAGTGTAAACAAAATTATTTGGTCCCCAAAGGATGACTTATACCGAGATCCTAAACTCACAACAGTGCTAGGAACTATTTTCTATTCAAAGCCAACATCCTTGTTATGAACAGACATGTGAAAATAATGGTACTCAAGAGAGCTAGATCTCATTTAGCAGGATTCTTTTCAGTTTATTAAATCCATGCTTTCCCTACAATAAAGCAGAACCTAGGACACAATATTAGCTACAATAGCTGCCTTTCAAATAAACTGCGTTCAGTCAAAGATTCCACTACATCAATTTATCCTCATTTGCTTCTATTCTAAGAAATTCAAAGGTAATGATGCAATCAAATTCTTCTACGTTTGAGAAACTTGAGGAGCAATGAATCAACAAAAAAATATTTTGGAGCAACAAACTATCCTTGTTTTAATCACTGCATGTACTCTTACTTGACTATATGAAGAATTGCAATGCTTTTCCTTAAAGCGGTTTCACACAAGTAAAGACGCTTACTTATATTTCAAGCAAGAGACAGAAAGGGAAATCAAGAACAGTTATTTTCTGCATGCTCAAACACTACAGCTGCATCCCCTCAGTAGGTTACTTGTACTTCAGCAGTTGCAGGGGGGGGGAATGTTTACATTTTGCCCTTTTAGGAAACTTACAAAAAGCATAAGGATTATAGCAGGAAAAAATGTTGATGGAAATTCCACAGAATTTTATGAAATTGGAGAGCCAAGAGAATTTGAAAGGAAACGTAACCTGGATTCTCCTTTTCCAGAGTGACAAACAAAATAACTTATTTTATGTTAATAATAATAATAATAATAATAATAATAAATTTTATTTATATCCCGCCCTCCCCAGCCGAAGCCGGGCTCAGGGCGGCTAACAACAATAAAACAGTACAAAAGTACAGCATAAACAACATTCTAAAACCATTCATTATAAAAATTAATTAATTCAAGCCACTGGCAACCATTGGGCCAGAGCTCCGCGAAGATTGCCGAGGGAGGGAGTCAGGCTGTGCCCTGGCCAAAGGCCTGGTGGAACAGCTCTGTCTTGCAGGCCCTGCGGAAAGATGTCAAGTCCCACAGGGCCCTGGTCTCTTGTGACAGAGTGTTCCACCAGATCGGAGCCACAGCCGAAAAAGCCCTGGCTCTAGTTGAGGCCAGCCTAACTTCTCTGTGGCCTGGGACCTTCAAGATGTTTTTATTTGAAGACCGTAAGTTTCTCTGTGGGGCATACCAGGAGAGGCGGTCCCGTAGGTATGAGGGTCCTAGGCCATATAGGGCTTTAAAGGTTAAAACCAGCACCTTAAACCTGATCCTGTACTCCACCGGGAGCCAGTGCAGCTGGTATAGCACCGGGTGAATGTGATCTCGCAGCGAAGACCTCGTAAGGAGTCTCGCTGCAGCATTCTGCACCCGCTGGAGTTTCTGGGTCAGTCTCAAGGGCAGCCCCACGTAGAGCGAGTTACAATAATCCAGTCTGGAGGTGACCGTCGCGTGGATCACAGTGGCTAGGTCAGGGCGAGAGAGGTAAGGAGCCAACTGCTTAGCTTGGCGGAGATGGAAAAATGCCGCCTTTGTTATAAGCTGCAATCTGCGCCTCCATGTTCAGAGAATTGTTAACTTCAAACTTACACATTCTGCTCTGACTTCTCACCACCAGGAAAAACATAATTAAACTAAATATCTGAAATGAAAAATTGATATTTTTTTTGTCACTTTGGAACTGTAACCTGGATTAAAATAAAGCTTTAGTAGGACTACAATCCTATACCCAATTTCTTAGGAGCAACCTCCAAGAAATTAAAGTGAGCTTACTTCCAAGTAAACACACATGCTGTAGTCATTTTATGCACCTTCCAAGTCTCAAATGCATAGGCATCTCATTATTATTTATAAAGGGGAAGACAATAATCAAATCCCAGTTAAAATTATCACTTGTTTGCTTTAAAAATTTTCCCAAATACATTATCTAGCAACAGTTGCAGATGACTGAATTCCCTTTTTGTTTGCCATTTTGTACTACTACTTCCCACATAGAAAATATCCACATGCTTGTTCAATACACTTTCATAGGTGTATTACAAATAGCTTGCCTGGTATGCATCATATGTTATTTTAGCAGCTCCATCCCATACTGCGGTAAGTTGGACTACAACTGGTCTTCCAGAAGGAGACAATACTTTAACTCGAGGTGTATTCACGTAGACTGAAACCACTGATGAGCGTTCTTGTTCTGTAGGGTTATAAATCAAAAGGTACCTGCAAGAAATGTTGCCAGATCTTTACAAAAACAAAGTTATTTGATCAAAGACTTCTTTTTTCACCTGAATTACCAAGATAGGAAATTATACCAAGAAAACATTAAAACAAAAAGAATACATGGGCACAATGCATCTAGATGCACAATGCATCTAATATGCTAGCTAGATATTAAGAGTTTTTCTTTTAAGAACACTTTTGAAAAGAAAATACTGAAAAGTTCTTGGCAAATCTTTTTCAGATAAATCTATTCATTTACCAGTCACCTGAAGTGTTTCAGGTCTAGAGCCTCAAAATACAGTTTAATATGGTGTGTATATTCTCTTAAAAGCATATACAACTTGTTGAAATTACTTTATATCATTGGGTTGGGTTCAAATGAGCTTCCTCTGTTGGAGGAAACATTTTCCTCCTTCAGAAATGTGCTTTTGAGATCTATCTGCAAAACACTGAATATCACCCAACAAACGAAGCCAAGTATTGTAGCTGAATCAAAGAACATCTGCTATTTCTTAGCCCAAACCTCAAGCAATTAGTATAGAAAGAAACGATGCAGCTATATCTTAAAATATGCATTTGCATAAATTAAAGAGAGAGAAACTGTTGGAATATAATGAAAACACTGGTATACATTTTATCAATTTCTGTTCTTAAACTTTCTATCATACTACTTTGTCTCAGTTACTTAACTTCCTAGGTGATTTCTTGCAGGAGCGCATTTGTAAGCTGAACTGGTCAATGTGAGTATACTGACATGACCTCTATTTAAAAGGTTGATATTTAAAGAATCCAAAAAGTTAAAAGCAAATGAATCACCCTTTCCCAATAAAATTCATCCAAAATTAACCTGAGAACAATGGCAAAGAAGAGTATTTATATTGCTAAACATTCAGATACCCCTTGTTTGAGTTACTCCCTGTGTTCACTGGCATCTAAGAGACATGCAAGCATCACCCACTTGCATGCGATCAACTCACGTGTAACTGCGTATACATGCAGTGACGGGAAATAAATAATTTGATTCAAACAAGGAAGAAGTCCTTGTGGCTCACGAAAAATCCAACCCCAGAGCCGGAAGAGGGTATCAGTGAAGGTGGAGGAAGCCCTGAAGAGACTGGGCTTTGTTTATGCTGCTCAGCCTCCCCGCCTAACAGCTGATGTGTGGGGTAGTGCAGCCGCTGCTGCCACCACTTTCCCACACATCCCTCCAGCCTCCTGCCAGCTCCACAGCTTCAATTCTAGTTGTGGATATTTTTGGATAAAGCATTTTCCCCCCCCGGTATGGATTGAGGAGAGTGTGGCAGAGATGGCATTTAAACTTCACACAACTTCACTTATGCGCACGCGGGCCTGCAATGTAACCCCTACATAAGTGGGGAGATACCTGTACTAGTGAAAGTAATCACGACGGTGTGGTTGTATATATGCACCACCCAGTTTTACATCTCACCACTAGGAAGTACCAGCATGCCTTAAGCCTTGACCTTCTCAAGGTTTATTCTGTTCTCTGTACAACAGAACATAACCTATTCATTCAAATGTAGAACTACAGTTGTCTCTAACTTTACATGAGCTGCAACAAATTATGAGACACACCGCTTGCACTTCAACAGATCAATCTAAGACACAAATATTAAAAATTATAACATAAAATTTTCTATGGGAAAAAAATGGCAGGAAATGTGTTGGGGTTTTTTGCATATTATTTTTATGTAGTGTAAATTCTATTTCCTTCATAGACATAGCCAGCCTAGGCTTGCATAGACTATGTAGATGCTTGATTCTGAAATACAGTGGTACCTCAGGCTGCAGATGCTTCAGGTTATATACGCTTCAGGTTACAGACTCCACTAACCCAGAAATAGTGCTTCAGGTTAAGAACTTTGCTTCAGGATGAGAACAGAAATTGTGCTCTGGCGGCACGGCAGCAGTAGGAGGCCCCATTAGCTAAAGTGGTGCTTCAGGTTAAGAACAGTTTCAGGTTAAGAACGGACCTCCAGAACTAATTAAGTACTTAACCCGAGGTACCACTGTATATTATTATTAATTATGTGGTGTCATCTATGTACATGGTGCTTTCCAAGGAATGGGAGAACAGATCCCTACCTCAAAGTTGCCTCTAATCTCTCTGAATAATAATAATAATAATGTGAATAATAATGATAATTTCCCCCCACACACACCCTTCTGGCTGGTTTCTAGGCAGCTTACAACATATCTAAAACATAATAAAAACATCAATCCTTAAAAACCTCCCTATACAGGGCTGCCTTCAGATGTCTTCTAAAAGTCAGATAGTTGTTTATTTCCTTGACATCTGATGGGGGGGGCATTCCACAGGGAAGGTGCCACTACCGAGAAGAATTTCACAACAGAAATTCAGGCCATATAAGAACCTAATTCTATCATCTATCTATCTATCTATCTATCTATCTATCTATCTATCATCTATCTATCTATCATCTACCTATCTCCTTCAGCATAGTGTCTTTAAGATATATTGATACAAAAGGAAGACCAAGTGACAAGTTGTTCTTGTTTCCACCTCATCTGAACAGCAATTTAAAAATAACTGCTGCTTGAAACTGTCCTTGAATATCTAAGCAGTGCAGATGTGGAAGTAGTCCTATGTTTGTTTTTAAAGATGCACACGAACAGGAAGTTGCAATGCAGAAATATTATCCAAAGCCACTCTCTGGTGGGGGAAGGTCAGAGAATAATTTAATGATAAATGTACCTAGAACCCCCAAAAGTTGAGGTCAACCAAACTCAACCATGTATTAAAATGTAACTGGGGAACAAACAGAAGGGAAGGTGAAAGAGGAAATTAGGAGTCCAATAAGAAGAGGAAACTTATATTGTGATTTTAGCCAAGAATTAAGCCCACAATTTGAGAAATAGAAACACCATGCAAACAACAGGGCACGCCCTGTCAATTTCAGGTACACAATTGCGTGTTTTACATTTATGACTAATACAGCTCTGCGATGCGATTTTTAAAGCTTTACATCAGGTCCATCACTTAAAACACCATTTCACCTGTAACAATAAAAATCAAGACACCACACTCACAAAAGACTCTACTTCACTCATACTATGTGGCACAGCACAACATCCACCCATGTGGAAAGACAAATACTTGGAAAGATGTAACCCACCCACAAAAAAAGCAAGCATGGAGGCAAGTTTACTGAAGGAGGCTTTTCGTACCATCTAAAAAGGTCCCGTTAAAACTGGACTTAAGACAAGAACTTGGAGAAACTGAACATCTACCTCTGTTTCAGAGGCAATAGGCAGCTGTGCTGCTCTCACCATTCAGAGCACTTCTTTGTGGCACTGCCTCAGGGTCTATTGCTGGAATTGATTTCTTCCTTCAAAAATTTAAAATTGCTCTCCTGTTTCCATCAGCCAGAAAGACCCTGAAGAAAAAAATTTCCAGTCAGAACATTTTACCCCAGATTCAGTAGTGAGGCTCGGCCTAGTCCATCATTAAAGTGCTCTCCAAAATGCCAATTTCTCCTCACACCACTAAGTTTTGTCTGACTCTTAACTGCCACATTCCACGGAAATAACTCTATTCTGGAAGGTACCTGAGCTTTGGGCTCATGCACTAAAACTGGTGGCAGCCACCATTAGAGATTTCACGAAGAAGAAAATGCCCCTTATGAAGTCCTAGGGACATTAGCAGTACAAGCAAATAGCAAATTATGAGGTCATAAAGATCTGATTGCCCACACACAATAGTAACAGAACAGATGTTATCGAAAAGATTACCAAAGAACATTTTCCAGAGACAGACGCCACCACCTGCTGCTCTTAACCTTTTTCAAGAAAAACACTTACCTCTATAGTGCCAGAGATACTTTCAAGCAGAATTCTTACATAAACATATGCCCGGACATGGCATCATATAAATTGCAACTAGGATTAAATTTCATCAAATCTGCTCTGAAGCAGGAAAATTTAATGAAACCCCTTCAATGATATAGTACTATATCTTCCAGTGTTTTGATTATGCAACAGCCAAATAGTTTATTGTGATGATGATTCTAATAGTAGTAGTAGCAGTAATTATTATTATTATTTCTTCAGTGGTCACAAGATATAGAAATAAAGTGCAAGGTTGAGAAAAAGGCAAATGTCTGCTTCTGAGAAAGCGAAGATGCTCTACTGTTAGGTGACCATGAATATTAATGTAAGGTAATATGCAACCTCACACCCAAAATCTCATCTCTCAAGGCCTCAGCATATAAGTCAAAAGCCATCAATATAAATGTTTTTAATATCTCTGCCAAAAGTAGGGAAAAAAGAGCTGAATAAGAGCTGATGTATTTAAACTCAAAAACGATGCCCACAGAGATAGAAATAATAATAAAGTCCAAACTTGAGCAGGTTTCTCAAGCAAATTGTACAAGGGAAAATGAAGCAGCATTACAAAACCTGTTCAACTACATGTATTTCCTTACATTAACATGTACGCAAAACAAGAGACTAATGGCCAAAAAAAAGAACCCCCATGACAACACTCCTTCATGGAACTGAGCTGAGGCCTTAAAGGCTTTCATATGCACACCCCACACTACTTTGTCCAATCACACTGCAAATATGATACACAATTCAGGTGATGAGATTGGGCTTTTGAGCATTGACAGCAATATTATAACCAAAATTCATATACTACTTACATTCATATAATATATGAATTTAAGTCCTAAATGGCTTAGGATCTAAATATTTGGTGGATTGTCTGCTCCCATATAAGATTTCCTGAACATGACAATCAGGTGAGTATGCCCTCTTAATGGTGCTAAATTTGCATTATGAACCAAGAGTGTGAGTGTGTGTTTTCAGCACCTTTTTGGGGAATGTTCTCTCCTCACAGATCTGACAGGCGTCAACCCTGATGGGTTTTTGGTGCCAGTTAAAAACCATTTTTATCCACTCAGGTTTTGGGCAGAACTGGTTGTGGGGGTAGGCAGCTTTTCCCTGCTGGAATCACT